CCACCCATCCATCCTCCATCATCCATCCATCCATCCATCCATCCCTCCATCTCCTGTAATATGTCTTTTCCCACTGCCATGTCCTCTCCACTCTTCAGCTTTCCTTCTCACCTCGGGAGAGCTCTTTCTAGCTTGGCTTCCCCGCGTCACTCTGGTGACACAGCTGGGCTGTGTAGAGCTTGCTGCTCTTACAAGGCTAATGTCTTCTTTTCATCTTCTGACAGCACCTTCCACTTGAATGTCCAGACCCTCAGTTCTGCACAAGTCAGCTTATTTGGGGAGAACTTCAGCGCAGTTCTTCCACCTTCCTCTGTCTCCCAGGCAACAGGTCTGAGCGCTGCAGTGGAGCTGAGGGCAGAGACAGTGGGCACTTCCCTAGCGGCGCTGCTGCCCGAGTGCCTGGTGCAGGGCGGGACGTAGACTCTGTTCTCTTCAACTTGCCTCTCCCCTCCCAGGACTCCACTGGATGAACAAACTCTGGCAAAGGTGACAGGCTGACTTGCGAATGTGAGCAAAAGCACTTGCCTGTTTGGGTGGAGGGAGGCCGGGCCCCTGGGCTGGGCTTGCCTGGGACTCAGTTGGAGACAGTGGGATGGAGTGTGGCCCCCACAGGGATGTGCATTGTGGGGAGCTGGGGGCGTGTGGCCCCTGCATTGCTGGCCTCAGATCCCAGGTGGAGTGTCCCTGAGGCTGACCTGGGGCAAAGGGAGGCATGTGAGTCATGACTGAGGCACTGGACTCTTGCTCTTCCGAGCTGACTAGCCTTCCTTGCATGCTCTTTATTGCCTGTCCTTAGGACAATTCCCGGAGATTTTATGGCATTTTCACTGGGGAGTGGGTGGAGGTGCTGTGCAGGCTGCTGCTCTGGAACTGGATCTCTGCCCCTTATTGTTTTTAAAGGGAAAGGTTTGAACTGAGTAAACCCTGAAGACATTGAAATCTCAAAGATTTGTCAGGGGCAAAGTGACAAATTTCAAAAAACTATAAAACCAGAAACAAATGGTTGTAAAATTTCAGGTCCCCTGAATTAATCTTTGACTTCAGAACTTAGAAAAATACTGGTAGGGTAACAGAAGGCGGCTTTCACGCTGGTTGAGGGATTTCAGTGGCGGGGTGACAGACCCCCCAGGGTGCCAGTGGCGCTGAGCTTGGCCTCTGCTGTCGGTGACCACAGCTGCCTGCTGGTGCCTGGGCACTGTCACGCTTCTAAAGCAAGTCCCTGGGAACCAGGCCAGGGCATGAGGCCCCTCTCTCTGCTGTGTTCACTGCTGCACCCAGAGCAATGGCCGTCACTTGAGCTGTCCACGGGGAGACACACAGGCTGACTGCAGCCAGAGACCTGACATGAGCGTTGATGGGTCCAGGCGCCACCAGATGCCACACAGACCATAGACTGGCGCCTGCCAGGCCACGGCTGCCTCTGCACAAAACTTGGGGGCATCCCAATGAGACACACTGTCGTGGGGGGCTCCCGGGGCCATGGGCGAAGGTGTGGCACCTCTGATGTGTGTAGCCTTGAGGTCTGCTCCTGTCCACAAAGGATACAGGGATCTCCCTTCCGGTGGCTCCCCGAGCCTGGTTTAGTCAGGGCAGATGCACTGGGCCAGAGAAATGAAGAGTCCCGCTGACCTGGATTTCAAGGACAGGCACTCAGGACATCCAGGGCAACAGTCAGACGTTTTGCATATATCTGGGATCGCCTTGTAATTGGAGTGTTGCAAGATGGGGTACGCATGCGCCCCTCATGTGGCCCTGCCATCCCGCCACACAGCCATCTCTAGGGACAGAGGGCACAGGCTCTCCGCCGGTCTCGCCATCCGTTGTTTCCTCAGACAACAGCTCTGGCAGACTCAGGTTACGCATCACTTTTGCCCATCGCCCATGAGTTTGCCACACCAATTCTTACAACGCAGCGTTTGCCCACAAGAGGCGGCTGAGGAGGTAGCCGGGGTTCCTGGTCCATGGAAAGTCGACCCTTGGTGGGCGTCGGGAGTGAGAGGAGAAAATGGCCAAATGTTTGGCCAAGTGATAATCGTGTTTACAACTTATTTACCTGAACGAGATCACCAACGAGTCGTTTATAATGTGTTTCCGGAAGTCAAGAATTCCGTCATGCTACAGAAGATCTTCGTGGTCCCCAGGATACCGACAACCGGAAGGTGATGAGGAAACCTCTTCACGTGGAGAGAGGACGCAGGCCCCTCTTGGGGCAGGTGGGAACAGGTGGATCTCTCGGTGTGCTGCTTTCACACCTGCGAATTCAACTAACCAAGTTACTCATCATGTTTCCTTTATTGTCTTAATGCCCATGGGATCAGTCTTTGTGGTCTCTCATTTCCTATATTAGTGATCTGTGTCTTCTTCCTTTCTCAATTAACATTGCTAAAAGTTCATCTATTTTATGATAGTAGAATATTATTCAGTACTAAAAAGAAGTGAGCTATGGGACAGAACTTACAAACTTACAAACTTGCAAAGCAGGACAGAACTTACATGCACCTTACTGAGTCAAACAAGTCAGTCGGAAAGACTGTACACTACGAGATTCTGGAAAACCAAAACTAGGGAATTAATAAAAAGATCAGTGATTACCAAGGGTAAAGGACAAAAGAGGGCTGAAAAGGCAGAGCACAAGGCCTTCTTAGGGCAGTGAAACTATTCTGTAGGATACTATCATGGTGTACGTATTTCCTTAGACATTTATCCAAACCCATGGAGTAAAATGCCAAGAGGAAACACCAATGTAAACCATAGATCTGCGATGATAATGAAACATCAGTGTAGGTTTTTCCCTCTTCATATGTATCAACATAGGTTTAACATCTGCAACTGATGTTTGGCAATGGTGATAATGGAGAGACGATGGCTGTAGCCCCAAAAGGTATTCAGGGAGTGTCTCTGTTCCTTCTCCTCAACATGGCTGTGAACCCAAACCCAAACTAATAGCTGTATGTTAGCTGCAATAGCCTGAGTTCTCCTTGAACCTTTTTGGCTGTGGCGAATACCGCTAAGAAGCTACTCAACCTCAGATCACCCTGCTCTGTCATGCTACCAGGACCTGATGGTGCTGTGTCTGTAACCTAGAAACATCCCACCTGCCTCCTCGGACTCTGCCCGGCTGCATCCTGCAGAGGGCCGCTGCTGCCCCATGGTCTAGGCCGGGAGAGTTTTTTCACATGTATCTTCACTTCTTGGCCTGACGTACTTGTGACTGTGCTGCCCTCGAGGAATGTCGCCAGCGCTCAGTCTGTTCACGACTGACTGGGAGATGCTCTGCTTCCCAGGATAAAAGCCTGAGGGTGTACACCCACCAGCGTTAAAGGAAATGGCGCGTTTCTTGTATTTTTGCTAAATTTTGATACGTAAAATTACAATTTAACTACAACTTATGTGTTTTAGTGCTACTTTGCGCCAGCCCTTTGCTCTGTACAATTAGGATCTTTTAAGACATAATGTTTTCTCTAATGGTGGGAAGGATACAACTTAGCAATTTACTATACACCTGTACCCTGAGCGCTTACAGTTACGGCATTTTATCGGGGCAATTATATGGCAATCTTGAGGGAAGAAATATCTTTTATACCACGGATGGTTTCTAGCACACTAAAGATGTAACAGAAATTCAGGAAATGATATTTGCTGAATGATTTGTTGTTCAAGTGGTTAGTAGGAAGGAAGGAAGGTTAAGTTTAGAGTCAGCACACATCACTCTTTCCTCAGGTTCAAGGTTGGTTTGTGGATATATGTTGTCCACATCAGTCATTTTGGAAGAAACAAAAAATTCATCGGTTTTTCCCTATCTTGACAAAAATTAAATACTGATACCAACATGATTTTAAATTTTCTATATTTTCTCTGGATTTCTTTTTAAATCTGTGAAACTGGCCCCCACAAAGATGGGTTCTCTAGGATTTATAGCTTAGCATGTGATATGTGTGGGGGGTAGGGGTAGAGGGAAAGAACTTTTCTTTTTCTTTCTTCTTCTTCTTTTTTTTTTTACTACACAAGCATATGGTGTCTCTCATCCAGTCTCCAGAGCAGCATAAAGCTACATTCTTGGTCCTTTGGAACTTTAAATGGAAGGTGGGTTATCCATCATCCTTATTTGTAGTTAGATGGGGAGATGCAAAGAGAGCTTTGTGTGCTGGAATCTTCGGCTTGCAGACTCTTGCCTTTGATAATATTCGCATCCTTCTCAAACCACGAGGACTCAGCCTGCCATTTGCTGCTGAAAGGTTTCACGAACTTAGTCTTCGTGGACTTGATGCCAGGGTATGCTTTCCTTTTCTTGTGCTCTTTGAAAGGTGAGACAACTTCAAATGACCTCTGGGACTCAGACTGGAGCCATTCTGTGGAACTTACGATAAGGTTCTTTTGGTCTGTGAGAGGGGGCTTCCTGGGCAAGGTCCAAGATGTGTGGTATTTTTTTGTATTTATATTCGAAGCTGACTTTTGTCTAGGAAAGAAATGACACATGTCAGTCTATGTCCTAGATGTACCCTAGATATTTGTAGTCAAAGTATAAATATTTGCATATTTGTCATAAATTATACTTTTTTCTTTTGGTGAGTTCAATCTTAAGAGTTTTGCCATTATTTCTATGAGAATGATCTAAATCTTCATATCTGGTCAAAAATTTTCAGCACTATTCCAATCCTGTATTTCTGGTGACTCAGAAGCTATGTTTATTTGCATTCTTGCTTTGATCCTGAACTTCCTGATTTAACAGCCAATTTAGCTGGGTCTCAGCTCTCATTGAGTGATGGTTTTATTTTTATATGTGTAAACAAAATTTGGTATATCCTTTCTGCTTTCCTCTGGGTATCAGTGAGTCTAATTGATTAGTTATTTCAGGTTAGTTATTTCTAATTCTGGTTGCCCCTTAGGGTTACAAGGCTTAGAAACACTCAAGAAATTTTAATTCATACTATGGTGATACTTTTTTAGTGTATACTTCCTTGAGAGCTCAAAAATTTTAAATGAATGGTCCAGCATAAATAAGCAAAGAAGGACTGAAGCCTCCTCCTTTTTCCTATTATTTTCTTATTTAGGCCTTTGTCCCTTTGTCAAATGTCATGTAGCTCCACCATCTAAAAACACCTGTTTATTTCATAGGATAGTGAATTGATAGTCTTGTTTCCCTATAAACAAATATATTAACTAGCTATGAATGAAAAAAAAAAAAAAAACAAAACTGCATTGCTTTACCGATGCTGGTTTTGGGAGCTGGTTTTTGAATTCTGTATCTGTTTTGTCTGAGTAGTTTGCACTTTTTTAGTCCTTTCCATGATGGGGAACAAATACTGCAATAGCTCTTGTGTTTGAGCTATTTTTGTATCCCTGTAGATCCTTTTTTCATCATCTGTCCAATTTACATCTGTCTTCTTACTTTGGAAAGATGTGCATTCTCTCATTTTGCCTTTCAAGTCACAATGTGGATCTGGGGAGCAACCACAGAAATATGTATAGAAATAGGCACTGGACTGATTCAACAGCTATTCACTTGGCATTAGGCACCAAGAATTCGATCTAAATATTCTTACCTAGCTGTAGCTTACACTTTAATTACAGGACCAGAAAGTAAGTAAATAAATTATCAGATAATGATAACATTTATGGGATAAAATAACCTAGGGGGTGGGGGTAGAGGGTTCATGGAGGAGAGGCCGATTTCTATTTTTATTAAAAAGGAACCTGGGGGCCCTCCCTGGTGGCGCAGCGGGTTAAAGCACTGCACTGAGAATCTACAGCCGCTTCCGCATGAGTTCGATTCCCGCCTGCCCCGGAGGTGA